CCTCTGATAAATGTGAAATTTTGGCATTTCTAAAAAGATATTAATGTTAAATATTATTTTAAATATTTATTTCAAATTTCATAATATATTTGTTTATTACTTATTATGTATATAGATTAATGTTTTTACTTATTATATAAAAGTGATTTAACAATAAAAATAATTTATATACTTCTAGAATTGCAATAGAAATGAATTAAGTTATGGTATAATTAAATTATAGATGTAATACTTATAAAAAGTATATTATAAATTAAAACCATTGGTATATTTACAGAAAACAAAATTAGATATGATATCGGATCGGTAATCGGCCGATATCAATTTTAAATCAGGAATATCGGATCGGATCGGCCTCCAAAAAGTGGTATAGGTGCACCCCTAATTTACAGAATACATAATAAGATATGATAGCCGATATCAATTTAATATCGGTTATATCGGATCGGACTCCAAAAAGTGGTATCGGTGTACACCCCTAGTAAGTTAGCAACAAATTTTTATCCATATTCCATAGTATTGTATAGCGCTATCTATTTTATACAAGTGATTTCAATTTTGGTAAAAAATGCGTATTCAGGAAGATTCGTAGTGTAACCAGGGGTTTCCTCAAATTGGCGCCAATTATTTTTCTTCCGATAGACCTCTAGATTTTTTATACAAAATGATGTATTTAGTTTATTTTTGCCTTAAATAGTTTTTGAGATATTAGCAATTTAAAAATCTTACAGCCTTGCGAAACTCGTAATTTTACCACATTTGAAGTATTTTCATTGTACATATTTTATTAATATTCATTAAATATATTTTATATGGGCAAATTAATAATAAATTATAAATGATGTAATAAATTGAATTTCTTTTGTTGGCTATTATTTTTACTTATAAGATGAATAATCCTTTAAATTGTATCAAATTCGTTAAGAAAATGATTAAAAACTAAAAGGATGCCCCCTTTTGGGAAAATAATTATACACTTTTATAATCATTTTTTTCGATTTTAAGGATGAAGCTAGCGGCGTCCCAGATAAATTGTATTTTAAAAATGTAAAAGAGAAATTTATTAATGTTTATTAAATTTTTTATAAAAAGTGATGGTGGTATTTTTTAGTTCCTATTCAGTTCTCCAAGAATTTAATTAAGCCCGATAAAATTCCAATTTTAAATTAAAATACAACTTTATTAAATATTAAAAGTCAAAATCTAAATGTTATTAATATTATTGATCTATATATAATTAATTTTTATTTAACAAGAGACGGTTAATTTACATACAATTTACTTTGATATTAACAAGAAAAATAAAATTACTTATATATAGATCAATAATATTTATAAAATTTAGATTTTGACTTTTAAAATTTAAATAAAGTTTTATTTTACTTTAAAATTGGAATTTTATCAGGTTCAATTACTATATCTGTGTAATTACCAACCAAGCATTTAATTCTCTCTAATCGATAGTAATCCTTTCATGGTGGAGGATAGGGGCACCAGCTTATTGAAAGCTGGTGGGGAAGGAACCCCGTACAATCCTGCGCTCGCATGGGATGGTACTGAAGACGACGTATAGTATGTAACCAAGGACGAAGATACCCTTATTAAAAGAAAAATTGAAACAATTTCCGTATATCTGCTAGAAATTTGTATGGTATTTAAGACAAAGAGCTATGTATTGAAAACATTGTAATTGCACATTTTATTTTTACATTCAAAAATTCCTTTAAATTATTTTTTAGCATTTAAATCAATAATAAATTATAATCATGATTTATTTTAATCATTGGTTAGTATAATCGCATTATAAATTAGTAAATTTTAATGTAATATATAATGCTAATCCATTTTTAGAATATTTTATGATTAATTACATGTATTTAGTTTAGAAATGCCTTTTGTAATATAATATTAAGTTAATTGGGAAATATTATTATTACAATTGTAATATCAATTAGCCCATATATAGTGTAATTTAGCCTTTTAAATCAAAGATATAATTACAAAGAAAACTATTATGAATAGCTCTATTGACCCCTCCCCATCTCTTTTCTATGATATGCTGGTATACTAATTATTGTTACTTCATTCCTTCCCATTATAATGTATTAATTGATTGTATTCCCTTTTAAGGAAAAAAATATAACCTCTCCAAAATAATGCTATAATTTATTTTAAGGAAAAAACATTATTGCAACTATTACATCAATCCATAACAAATATAATGTAATATATGATTACAATTATCTAATCACTTTGTATTGTAAATTTTATTGAATGCTAGAGTTATTTATTTTTGTTTTAAATGATGCATGTTGTGATATAATATGTTAAATTTATATTTAAAATGTTTATTTTTTACTGTTCTTGCGGCGATATTTTTTTATTATAATATGTTCAATTTATATTTTAAATGTTTATATTTTTACTGTTCTGAGGCGATATTTTGTTATATATAAAAAACATACAATTTACTTTGATAATAACAAGAAAAAAAATTACTTATATAAAGATCAATAGATAACATTTAGATTTTGACTTTATTTTTTTTAGAAATATTATTTTACTTTAAAATTGTAATTTTATTGTTATTACAATTTTAATATATTTGAAACATCATTACATTCTTAGTACTACCATAAAATAAAATCACTATCGATTATTCTGGTTCTACAAGCTTATCCCTACCAGTATCAATGATAACGATAAGTATTAAGTCAAAAGCAAAATTTTCCTTTTAAATTCACAATGAATAATATTTCAAAATTCATACCATTAAAAAAACACAAGTGCCTTATTTTATAATTAAACTATTTTATAAAAATCAATAAAAAAAATATAATAATAATATATATATATATATATACTATAGTATTATTTCCAAAAATAGTTTTAAATTCTTATATATTAAATAAACTGGCCGGAAATGAAAAAATCTAAGAATTTTTTTTTATCTAAAAGTATAATCTTCGTAAGTATTTTTGATATTAAATTTGTCATTTACAATTATGTAGTTTTTAAGATATGTTTTGAAGGCAGATAATGTTAAAAATACGTCATTTTTGCCATTATGAACCCTAATATCTCTAAAAATATAAGTGTTAAGAGGCTAGAATTTTGGTCATTTCTTAGTACATTAACCTTTCTTTGCTTACCAAATTTTAAATCAAAGGGGGTCGGCCAAATCGTGGTTGATTTGTCATGAAATGACCCGTACGTGTGTTGTTTTTTAATGCAATCAAGTCTTCTTTTTCTTTGTCAAGATCTTTTCTCAAACCTTAATCTAGTTTTATCAGCCAATCTGATTTAAATAGCGGGACGATTGTTGATAATATATATCCAATTGAAATAAAGTATTAATATTTCAACTGTATAACTTGTATCTTAGTCTTGCAAAATTGCATTAATAAGTGGCTTACAAAATAAAATTATTTAAAGCCATTTTTTAATGTTATGTTATCGTGGGAGTGAGATTTCCCAAATTTATATTTTCTTCTCTCTAAAATCGAAAGAACCGTAGGAACAGGTTACATAGCCTATAAAATCATATATATCGCCCTACAATATTCACATGTGAACGACTTGTCATTATCTGAACTTTGTAATTTGGATTTATCACAAGATTCTTCAATTTGTGGCCATTCTCCTTAATAAGATTTTTCCTTAAAAATAGCTTCAAACATAATTATTTATAAAATAGATTATAATATTGAAGAATAAGAATATAAATTAACATACATTGATTGATTCAATATTAATTAGATTAACAATCTTCTGAAAATTTAAAATAAAAATGAAGGACTGGTGATTGATGTGAATTAAAAACTCGGCTTAAATTATTTATAAAATTTAAAAATTAAATAAAGTAATTTTATAATTACAATAAAATATGTTTTTTCATATTTTTTAAGAAAAATTTTAAGTAACGAATAAAGTTTTGCGTACTCAATAAAAAGAAACGCGTTACTCGTTACCTTTAGAAGAAGGAAACTGACGTTCCTTTTCTTCAAAAAAGTTTTGACGTTGCTTTACATTATTACTTTTTAGTATAGGTTAAAAAGTATTTGTACTAGGACATCCTATTTTTAGTTTGTTTTAAGTATTTGGTGGCATTATTATATTTCGTAATTTTATTCTTGCTTTTATTTTTTTTTTCGGTTATGCTGTTTTTTTTTTATTTTTAAATTTTTACTTTTACTTTTTTGGCTATTTAGTCGATATTTAATAACCTGTTAATGGGAGTTTGAAGATTTATTACTAGAAAGGGAATTAGTTCAAAAATAAATACAAAATGTGTATAAAAATAAAAAATTGCATAAAATCGGTATTAAATTTTTTTTTTAAATATCGCCCGATCCAATATTTTTTCTAAAAGTCAAATATCGGCGACGATTCGATACCGATATCTAATATTGGTACAGCCCTACACATTTTACTTATTCATTTACGTAATTTTCATTTCCCAAATTAACAATTTCCTGTGATGTGATTTGTATTGTGACTAGGTAAAACTCTATTATTTACATACATCATATTCTATCAAGTTAAATAAAATGTTATACTAGGTTTTTGCAACTTTATTTGATAATTGATAATAGCTTATTTATGGTGAATAAATACAAATTTTTTTTAATTTTTCCTTATGATATTGTATATTTAAGTTCAAATCCCAATAAATTTTTAATCGGGCTTGGGTCGGGCTATTTTTTTATTTGGGCTCGGGCCGCGAAAAATTGGTATTCAGAACTCTAGTGGTAGTGACGAATAGTTTTCCTAAAGGAAAGATTTTATTGGTACCGGCAATTGATTATTATGAGCTTTAAATTTATAAAAAAGGCCTATTCTAACTATTTAATTCCAAATCTGTAGTTTAATTTTCCCCCAAGGTGTGAGCTATCATATTCGCCTTTAACTTGTGAATAATATAACATTTCTATTTTCTAGTTGTTGCAATATAATATTTTATCAAAAATAATGGTAAATATTTTTTCTTTAAATTTTACCATTTCGTGGGCATATTTAGTATGCAAAGCTATGGAATCGTATTTGGCATAACAATTGTGGCCAGTAGCTCCGCACAACACTCCCATATCGGTACATGTCACACATACAAGACCTGGATTAATTTTAAAGTTTAAAAAAATAAAGTCGTGGTATCTTTAAATCAAAGAATAAAGATGATCGGCATATGCGGCTTCGTAAAATGGAATTTAAGCAAAACTCATGCGATATTTATATAATTTTTCTCAAAGAATTAATCGAACTCCAATTATTCTTTCGAAAAATATACAATAAACAGATTAAATCGACCTAGAAGAATTGCATCGGATTGAAACCTTAAATCCAAATAATCTCCCTTCCTTTTATTCTCTCTCTTATTACTTACTATAACATGTGCAAGATAGAGGTCATAACCCTCAAACCTATAGTAAAAGATATTTAGCTCAGTATTTGGCCAAGTCTCGATATTATATCATTTCATTGCAGTGAACATTTTTACCATATAGAAACTATTTTATGGCTTTTGCCCGTGTCCAGCGAGACCATCGATCACTTGCGAAGAATGGAATAAATACAAAAAAAGGAATAGGAAGATTTGGAGTTAAATATTTTGAATTTTAGGATAGTAATTGATTTTAAACTTTAAATTAATGATTTTAAAAAAATGAAGATTAAACTAATTACTCCTGTTCTTTTAATAATTAAAATTTTTCAGTATTTCTATAATAATATATATATATATTAAACTATAACCCTGCATCGGGCTTTTTCCAGGTCCACTCAACAATTCTTAATTTTTTTGTGCGCCAAATAATCCTGCCCGATTTATAAATTTTAGAAATAGGTGTATACAAAATGGCGGAAAAATATTAAGTTTTTATTTCTAAGGAAAGAAGATTTAAATACAGTAGTCGGAGCCGGATGAGAAATTTAAAACAATTTCCGGCTGTACAACCAATAAGTACATGCAAGATTCAAATTTTTTTTATATAATAATCAATAGCTTTAAAAATGGAGTTAAACTTAGATCAATACTAATAAATATAAAATAATCAAGCTCCGTGATTAAAAAATTATAATAGTTGTAATTACATACCTCCATTGCTAATAGCGCGCATAGTAGCGTCTAAGAATGGAGCAGCGGAACCGTATGGGTCTATATCGATGACATCGATTTGCGTTTTATGTGTCGAATGATTTTTTAGCATCAACAGACTATTTTTAGAAGAAAAGAAAAATTACATATTCAAGTATACATTTGCAAGATTTTTTGTGTTCAGTTGCATCAAAATTTACTAAAACAGCTGTAGAGGAAGACATTGACAAACCTTTTTATTGTGTAATATTTAATTTATTATTTCTATATTTTTTATGGTGATCACCGGACCCCCTTTTGAGAATTTTTAAACCATACAAAAATTAGATTGCAAATTTTATATTGCTGATAGATTCAGCAACAGAAAAATGAGCAATCTTGATAAATAATTTCATAACAAGGACATTACACATAGCATGAATCACTAGAATGACAATCAATTAAATATAAAATTGAAATAAGCTGACCCTCATTTTTATTACGATTGATTTATATAAATCATATAATATGCCCCCAATCGACCATTATTGGGTTCTTGGTTGTAGAGCTTCTAAACAGGAGGAGCGATCCAAATGAGAATAAAATTTCAAATATTTTAAATCAAGGTATAAAAAGTTTAGTTATGTTTCCTAAATTAACAGAAATCTTGCAAAAGACAGAATTTCAGGCCTGGCCCGGATTTGAAATAAATTTCCATTTTCAATCCAGGCCCGGATTTTTATTTTTGATAATTTTTTGGCCTAAAAATTTCATTATTTTAAGTAATTCTGGATGTATTTTGTAAATTGCTTTAAAGGGAAGAAAATATGAGCAGTAAATGAGTATTACTAATTGATATATTTTTATTAAAAAAAAATAATTGACCAGGCCAGGATTTATAATTTCCAATTTCTTTTAAGCTCGGCTCGGATTTTTTAAATCACACCATTTTTCCTAAGGGTTTTTAAAAAAAAATCCTATACTTGAGCATATTATCAACCATAATCAAGAAGGTGATCGAATAAGCTGATTTCAATTTTTCCCGTTTCAAATTTCATTCTTACAATACGATTACCAGTCTCGAATATTTAATATCATTGATTCTAAACTCTTCTTATTGTAAATTATTTGTCTTTTGTAATATTTAAAAATTTATCACTTAGCCTCCTCGTTGGAGATTTTTATGATATCTTGACTAAGACCATTGTGATCGATATTTTTAGCGATAACTTGAGTTGCTAACGTTGAAAGATCATTAGCTATTACGCATCCGATGTTTGGAAGTTCTTTTGCATACCTGACAGCTCTTAATCCAGTAGCAGAAAATGCGTCTAATATAGAAAGACCTGACTGTCGGGGCAATAATAAAAACAATTTTTAATTCAAAAAATATTTATATAATGATGTGGATGCACGGCACGTAGATATTTAATTATGCACTTTCGTTTAATTTAGAGTTTATGAAAATTGCATTATATTATCATGTTTTGCCAGGTCTCTGGTATTTGACTAAAAGCTTCCATTAATTTTACTCTCAAATATGCCAATAAGATTTATATTTTATTCATTTCTTTATTCACACGAAGACCAAGGTTAGGCACCACACCCCTTTTAAAAAAATCATCTATAACTTGGGTACCTTATTACATCTTAGTATTATATATCAATAGATACCTAAAACTATACCAAAGTTTATTTTATCATAATTTTTCATAATGTTGATTTTGCCTAACAAATCCGAATCACAGGGTTATAAAGGCATTAAAGCTGTTTTTGGTACAATTAGAAATTTAATTTTTTAAAAAGTATGTAGCAAATAATTAAATTTAAAAATAGATAGTACAGAAGACTTCAGCTGATCAGGTGTGGTGAATCAAATATAATAATAATACTATACCTTTCTAATTAATTTGTCTGGCCAAAGCCGAGTGGGCTTCAATAAATTGGCAAAACAAAGTGAAAGCTTTTAGAGAATTATATATAGTAGGTTAATCCAAACTTGTAAAAATAATTTATGATATACGGTTAATATTAATTCATTTAAGACAAATTGAAAATCTTGGCACATTTAAAACGTTAAAATACAGTTCTTATTTTTTTTGGAAATCTTTGAAATAATATGGGGACCGCTTTCATTATATCTTTAAATAAAAATTTATAAAAAAATTTTTTATCAGCTTGAAAATGATCAAAGATGTCATCTTCTGTATCTTTTATAGCCTTCATATTCATTTTAAATAAATATATACATTTAAATGAAAAGATGTACTATTTAAAGCTGCCAGATAGCATCTAGGTAAAAAATATAATGCCATATAGAAAGATAGAACAGGGAGGATGTATAGCCATGAATGCAAAGATGAAAGCCCACATGATCCGAATGCCCTCTATACTAAGTAGTATGACCAAATTATAAATATATGGTTGAACAATTTTCGATAAATAGAAAGCTTATAAAAGAATGTACAATATTTTTACCCAGAGCATTTTGATAAAATAAATATCAAATGCATTTCTGAAATAGTCTTACGCTGCGTTTATAGCAAACGTGTTACCTTCAAGCATTGCATTATTTGAGCTGATTCAGTTTTAAAACTTATTTAAGATAAAATTAAAATAGAGATTATTTTATACAATATTTAAGAAAAAACTTATATCGAATTTGCAATTATTTTTATAATCGTATGGCATATTTTTTATCAATGCATTGGAACATATGTTTTTCACCTATTTATTGGCTTAATTTTGTAATAACGCAACACTTGAGCAAAATACATTAACTATAAATGCAGCCTTCTGAAAGTTTTATATTTGGTAAATGTACCCAGTGACAAATTACAACCTAATTGTCTTCATTTGCATTTGCAAAGATTAAATAATCAGGTTAAATAAAAATACAGATGATATAATTTGTAATAGTGAGGAGTCTAACAAAAATGAAATAACATAAGATAAAAATGATTAACAATGTAATATGTGGCTATGAGATTATTTGGTGCAAAAATATGGCAGCCATTGTATAGAGTATTCCCTTCTTTCTTTCTTTTTACCTATAGTAAAATTGTGAAAGAATGTTTAGAAAATTAAAAAGCATATAAAAAACAGAACAAAAATAAGGGACAAGATAAATTGGATGCATTTTTTATTTATATTAAAGAAGAATTGCAGGTGATATCAATTTTTATGATTAAAAAGTTAAATATAAAGATAATAAACATTCCTGGTAAATATCAACACCCAAAAAAAATCCTTTATGACTATGAAGATATATATCTTTGGATTGGGTTAAGCTACTGATCTAAAATTTTGATTTCATTAAAATTTATAACATAAATAATCAACATGAGTTTAATTCATTTTTGAGATGGTTGTCTAAAACATTGGTTGATTTGATGAATGATTTAGTCCTTTTCTTATTAAAAATGTAAAAGCTGCAATATAGTATTTAACCTATTGTTATGGACATGTTTGTGACCAAAAATATAAAAATCTTATAATAGGAATTAGTCATGGGGCCAGCCCAAAATGGATGGCATATAGATCAATTACCTCCCTCATAAAAATGAGGTCAATAGATAAAATAATTTGCCTACAGGGTCCCAGATTGTCCATCTGCCCTGTTCCAAATTATATAATACTTCCACCAGCTACCTAGTTAGAGATTAATGGTCTGCAGGCTAAAAGAAATAAGTAAAATTTCTAAAAATAAAATAGAAACTGTTTTATTTCTTTAATTAAAAGTGATAATTAAAATCAACTTACTCTATTTTTTAAGATAGTAAATAATAATGGGTTAAATAAAAACAGAAAATTAATAAAAATTTTGGGCTATGCTCTGATTTTTTTTTATAAAAATAATAAATTGTCCATCAAATAAAAAAAATCCTAAAGAGATCTATATTGTATTTATTGACATACAACTTAAATTAAATATATATCAGAGACCTGTGGAGGTACCATTTGCATGGCCCAGCCAGGCCCAGATTTTTTTAAAAAAAAAAATTTAGTCCTGGTTGAGATTTTATTTTAGAAAATTTTTTTGGCCCAGATTTCTCTAAAATATATTATATTTATTGTTAATTTTTATAAATAATAATGGCAATAACCTGCCTGGTGAAGTTATTTTTTTAAAAAAAATTTTAGGCCCAGCCCAGGTATATTTAAAAACATTAAAAAATTATTGCCTGACCCATGTAGCCATGACAGGCTTGCAAGTATTTGTATGTGTGATGCAAATTTTATCATTTTAAAATATAATCAATAAAATTGCCTTGATATCTGGCATGTATTATTCGAATTATTGCTGTCATATATTTATAGATTTATATTAACGGTACCTCAATTTTTAACTTTTCCTTATGAATAATAGAATTTTTCAAAAAATGTATAAAGGAATTAATAATCAAAACTCTAAAAAAATGGATATAATACCCAATACATATATTATATTACGTTAAATCTCGATTAAACTCCTGTACTGGGTTAAAAAATACATCATCTGGCAAAATAAATTCACATTTTCCTTCAATAATTTTACTCATCTAAATAAAGACCGAATCTTAAAGAGGACCTCTTAAAATTTGCAAACAAATTTTAGAATAGTTTAAGCCAAAATATAAGTGGTAGTATCTACAACCATCTTTTTTAAACATACACTTAATCCTGTGTTGCGTGTGTGAATTATTTAGGGAAAAAATAAAATGTCAACTAAATGAAATATTAAATCAAAACTCTTTTAATAGAAAAATTAATGTGTAAAACAAAGAAAATTTAGAAATAATATCGTGGCAAAAAGTGAATTAGAACCTGAGGTTAATTAAATTAACAAAAGGGAATAATGTATTAATTAATTATAAAAGAACATGTGTCGCTTATTTTTATGTGATAAAGTAAAATTGAAATTGGCCAATGTAATGTAATATTCCTGAATCCCAATATATCAATTAAAACGATTAAATTTAAATTTCTTTCTGTGAAGAAAAGAAGGAGTCATCAATAAATGGCTTAAATAGCAAAATTTGAATCGAAAAAGTGGCGAATCTAGCAAAATATAATTCAATTATATAATGAATGTGATTCTAAAATAAAATAAAGAAAATTTAAGGACTAAAAATATTTATATCGTGGATTAAGAAAGAATATAAATTGGTATAACAAACTATTCTTAAGAGAATAAAAATATTGTGAATGTACCTTGTACGTATTTGTTTCCCTGTACTTTATCGTGCCTGGGCTGGGAGGACCATGACTAATTTTGAGAATTTTGATTCATAAACTGCTTTACTGCGTATTAAAATGAATACTTAATTTTTTAGTAACTGATATGGCCTTTATTTATAATACTAATAGATATCCCGTCAAAAATGACGGGGAATGAGAATTTTCTTCTTATATTTATGCTAGATGTTACCTGTTATTTGAAAATAATATCCAATTTTTATTCTTTTTATTTCCCTCCCCCTTCAGGCCAGATTCAATACATTAAAACTAAGTCTAAATATTATGGTTTGAGTAAGAATAAATTTAAAGCTTCTTACTTGACTATACCAATATGTTAAATATTACTGATCATTTATACCTAATATTTAATATTAAAAATAATTCCCAGGCAAAGTATAAAGCCATAATAATTTTGAAAAATTCTTCCAAGCCTAATGAAAGATCATAATAATTTTGGTAGTTGAGAACTGAAATAAAACATTTAAATAATCATAATGAACTTAAAAATACAATAAAAATCAGATTTTCATGGGCCTTGGTTTTTTTGATCAGACCGAGCCCAGGCCTGCAAAATAACTTGTTTTAGGCCAATGTCTGACCCATAGTTAATAATAAAAAATTATCAAGCGTCCAAGCTCGTAATAATTTTCCCCAAGCCCAGCCCAATATAATTTATAAAAATATTTTCCAAGCCCAGTCCAACTCATAATAATTTTATAAAAATTTTTCTCAAGCCTGGCCAACCCATAGTAATTTTCAAAATTTTAAACCTGGAGTTAGGTAAATATCTAATAACAATATCTATTTTTTATTCTATCTTAACCCAGCTTAAATTTTTTGAATAAAAATATATTTAAATTAGCTTTTATTTGAGGGCCATATAAATATTCTGTGTTAAATATTACACCTATGCCTAATATTAAAAAAATTCCCAAGCCAGGTCTACGAATTTGGGAAAATTTTATTAAACCTGCCAAAGACCATAATAATTTTGGTAGTTGAGAACTGAAATAAAATATATAAAAAGTCACAATGCATTTAAAAATACAATCAAAATATGAAAGTTGCATGGGCCTTGGTTTTTGATCAGGCCTGGCCATGTTTTCAAAAGAAATTTTCAGGCCAATTTCTAGCCCATATTTAAAATTAAAAATTTTTTGAAAAATGTTTAGCAAGCTACGTCCAAGTCCAAATTAATTGTGAAAAATATTTCCCAAGCCCAAGAAAACCCAGAATAATTAATTTTTTCCTTGGATCCAGAAAAATAGTAAGGGGTTTATAAGAATTAAATCTGTTAATATATGTATATATTAATTGGAAATTTTTTTCAAAATTATCAACAAGTGAAAGGGAAATATCTGATTTACCTATCATTATAAGAAATTCATGAATACATATTAAAGTACCATGCTGAAAATATGTTCATCCTAATTTAAATTTTAAACAAACCACCACCTTTACAAATGATTTATTACTTAGTCACAGATATAAAATTAAATTTATGAAATTGATATAAAATTACAATAGAAAAAATAAAATGATATTTTAAGTTAACAAATAATAGGAGGTTAACTACAATCAGAGTCAAATTATATATAAGTAAAACAAAAAGGTTATACATTTCATCAAAAATGTAATAATAAGTTATGAATAACATACATTATACAATTATGAAGTTATGAGAAAATATACAACACTATATTATAATGGATTGAATTATTTGGTAATTGAAGTATTAGTAAGTGGACAATTTTTACAATTTATACAAAATTATTAAATTTTTTATTTTTAAATTCTTCAAAATATTACACTGCTAATAATCTCTGCAATTTCTCTTGGAATATCTGTCAATTTTCTCTTAAACCATACAATAAATATATTACAATAACTCAGATCGTAACATTAAAAGGTGCTGGAAAATAAGGATCTACTATATGTCAAACAATATATATAGTTAAAAGAAAATATTGATGATATTACCAAATATTCTGAGTCAAGTTTTAAATTGACACAGACAAATGTAAAATATTAAAAAAATATAAAATAGTTTTTTATTTTAGGAATCTGAAAATTGACATCTGGGAGCAGTATTATTTTATATTTGTATATAAAATTAACTGCATCATACCTTAATGAAATTGCAATACCTATGTCGAATGATTCTGTACATTATATTAATATTATTTGATATTTATACTAGAATAATAGCTAGATCAAGATAATTCCAAAAAATAAAATGAAAACCCTATAGTTATTAATAAAAATATTCCTATTCCTACTCTCAAAAGATATTATATCATTTCTATTATAATTTTATTATATAACTCAAATATAATAATTTATATATATTTTATGGAAAAATTATCTTTCAAAATAAAAGTTATTATTGGTTTTCCAACTGTTTATTTATTTAATATTGATAAAATTATTTACAACATATATTTATTTATGTAGTATATAAATAAAATTAAAATATAACCATTATCAAACAATAGGTTCATACAAAGTTTAATAACTGAAAGGTAATACATAATAAATACAATTAAATATTTACATATCTTTTAATAAATAACTAATAATTGAAACATATCAAACATTTTGAATATTTTAATTTTTTTTTAAACTTAAATGTGTCCAAAGTGTTGTTATTAATTTGTGAAAAAGGACGCAGCTTAAAATAAAATTTTAATTAATTATTATTCAATAAATTTTTTGGATTTAAATAAATATTTGGAGAATAGAATATGGAATAATAATAAAAATGATTTTAGAAATGAACTATTAAATATACACATGAATTTCATATAAAACCTACACTTATCATAAAAAAATATTTAAATGCTTTTAAGACCTTCATAAGTACTCTTTTAAATAAAGACCTCCTATCATAGATTTAAATCAAATATGAAGTCAACCTGATTGTGTCTTAAAAACTCTGTGGTGGTATCCATTGGCTATTTAGAAAATTATTGGCATATACATAGCAATTAAGATTGAGTGTTAAGGGAGAAGTTCCTAACATGGATATACTTTAAAAATAGTTTTGATAACAAAATTCTTTTACCCCTAAATTTCTAGAGACATACTGTGACATTAAAACTTTCCTTTATTTTGCTCAGTTTGATTAATTTCTTTAAAGCCAATTTTAAAAGACTTGAATATTCAAATAAATTAACGTTTTCTGTTGGTTAACTATATAAACTATAAAAAATTTAACCTTATGAAGATGGTAAAATGTGTTATAAAATTGAATGAATGTTGAGGTTGTTACAGATTACTATTGGACCGATTACCCAATAATCATTTTTATTGAACAAATTATTTTAAAAAGAACACTATTGGCTAAATTTGATTGATGTTTTTGAGGAATAATATAATAGATAATAAATTGTCTCTTCATATATATATTGGCGGTTTATTTGAGTTGTATGACAATCACAATTATTATTTTCCATTTCAAAAATAGTGGCGGCTATTATTAAAAATGTTTTAATCAATCATTATTAAATGAGTATTCTAAATCTAATGAATACAGTTATTTATTGTATGACTACCATCATAGGCAGATAATTTTCATGATTTAAATAAAAATTAATAGTAAATAATATGCTGCCATTTATTTAAAATTTATATTAAGTTGTCTTTTCGAATATAATTTCTATCTTACCCCATTTATATATATATAAATTATAAAATATAAGCACTAAGATAATTACTGTAATATTTTGAATTAATACCATAGAAAGATTATTATGATAATTTCAATGTCAAAATATATAAATTCAATGTCAAAATATATAAATTCCATAATCTGCATCCCATAAAAATGATTTTGTTGTAATCTGATTAACATTTTATATACAATATTTGAATTGGGATTGATTTAAGAATAAGTTGCTAAATTATAAAATTAGATACTCCATAAATATTAATAATATGATAGATAAGTATGATATATTGAGTTGAGGAAAGGTAAACTATATAAATATAATAAATATTTTCATAATTAAATATTGTAAGTAATTAGATTTGTAGATTTCAAAATTTTAGGTCAGGCACAAGATTTTATTTAAAATTCGGCATGACCCGGGTTTGTTTTAAAAAAAATTAGGGCCACTCAGGATTTATTTTTTATATATTTTTTGGCCCGACCTCGGCATTCTTAAAATTTTGTTATTTTGAATAATTTTGACTATATTTTGCAAATTGGTGCCTGAAGGTCCCTGATTTATATTAATGTGCTTTATATAAATGATAAAAAAAACTTATTATTTTTATAAAATATTTTCTTATATATATATGTTGGTGAAAAGAAATAGAAATAGAAATAC